GAATGGACGGTTACGGTTGAGATGATCTCAATTTACAATATCACGTTTCTACATTTTCTTTTTTTACAAAATATTTTAATACCAAAATTTGGGTGTCCACTCGTCTCTTAAACTCGCGCTATAAAAAAATATAAAAAAAATTATTTTCAATAAAATAAAATAATTAAAATACCCTTGAAAGTTTTAAGAGGTATTTTCGTTTAGAGAAATGATCTTATAGGACCTTCCCTCACCTATGTGTGTAGGACCTCAAATGATCACCATTAAATTTGGCATGGATCTATAGAAAAGTTAAGTCATATACCTATGTGATAACTTTTCTAGAGATCTGTGCCAATTTTAATGGTGATCCTCCTACACACATGGGTGGGGGGGGGGGGGTCCTATAAGATCATTACTATTTAGTTTATTATATTTTATTGAAAAAAAAAATTTAATACTTTTTTAGGTGTGCCCATTGAGATGATGGTGGGTATTAAATTTCATATTCATATAATTTGTATAAAAAACTAAAAATAAAATACTATAAAGCATCAGTTATAGATCAAACGGTTAGTGGTTCACTTTAGATGGATGGATAGGGGAAGCATATATATTATGGGAAAGGTTTCTATACTTCTCCTACAACATATAAGATCTACGCTTCCCCTACCATGTAACCATCCAAATATGATCAAGAGAGTCACTCATCGTGTGATCTTAGCTCCGACGTCTCAAAGTATTTTATTTTTAGCTTGTTTTATACAAACTGTAGGAATATGAAATTTGGTACCTGTCATCTTTTCATTGGGACGCACCTATAAAAAATATTAAAAATAATTTTTTGATAAAATATAATGACCAAAATACCCCATGAAACTTTCAAAATATTTTGGTCATTTTATTTTATTGAAAATATTTTTTTATATTTTTCATTAGTGAGAGTTTAATAGAGGATTGGACGTACAAAATTTGGTGTCAAATACTTCATAGAAAAAATTAAAAATAAAATAGTATAAAGATGTGACGTTGTGATTGGGCCAATCTTAGCCCTCTATTCAGAATAGACGGTTTGAGAAAGCGAAGTATATAAGTTTTATGTTGTAGAAGAAGCATAGAAAGTTTTCCCATATACTATATGCGGTACCTTACCCATATATTATATGCGGTAGGAGAAATATAGAAACCTTTCCCAAAAAGTTAAGGGATCCTGGGGACTAAATAGTTCATTCACGAGTACATCAAAAATATAGTCAAAGAATTTGATTGGCTCAAAACCCCCAAATCATATTCCTCTTTCTCATTCATTATCGTTTTGTTTTTTGTTTTTTGTTTTTTCTTTTTTTTTTTAATGAGGAAAAAGGGAAATTGGTTCGAAATGCCACAAATTAGACTTTGGTGAAGATTGAATCTAGACCGTCTATTGTGATGGGAATTGCTCAAACCGTCACCTTTTAAACTTAAACAATTAGACTGATACAATGATGCACTAAAGATGTTTCATGAGGTTTTGATTCGTACAAATACCCTAACTAATAGCAGCCTTTGCACTAAGACTAGATTTGTAATTAGGTCATGAATTGGGCAGTACTTTTGTATTGGAAGAATAAAATGAGTTATTTAAAATTGACATCTTTTGAAGTTACAGTCTTTCTAAAAACCTTTATTTTGTGTGTGATTGTAAGAGATAATAAGTAGGGATGGCAACAGGTCAGGCCTAGCTATACCACCCCTGGCCTAGCCCGGCTTTTTTCTTTTCAGGGCCCGCCCATGTCCGATCTTGACCTTATCGGGGTTGGCTGGGTAATATTAAAATAAAACAAGAGCAAAACAAAATAAAGAAATAAGGGCAGCGATGGGCCAAACCGGGCCAGGCCACCCCTAATAATAAGTGCATGGGTATTTGCCCCATATAGAAAAATGAGAATAAAAGAGGAACTATATATAGATGAATGCCCGCTAATCTTGCATTTATGGATCCAAGGGAGAATACACTTAGCTTATGCACTCACTTCTTGGGCAAAGAGGTGCCCTTAGCCGGTTCATAGTTAAAAGTTCCACTGCAAAAGAATTAGCTGGAATATGGGGTGTTTTCAGAAATCATGAGGGCTCTACTTTATTTTCATATGTTGGTACTTGCGGGACGGTTATGGTTAATCATGCTGAGATTTGCTATATATTGTAAGGTTTGGAGATTATTATTAACAAATATATTGCAGATAATATTATAGTTGAAGGAGACTCCCTCAATATTACCAAATGGTGCAAGTTAGACCAGAGGCTTCCTAATCCTTTTATGCTTTTTAGTTGAAAATCTCTAATATTTGTGCTACTTCAGGTTTACAAATCTCCTTCAACCATGTTTACCGAGATGTTAATGTTCTAGCTTATCATCTAGCAAAAGAGGGGTGTTCTTTGTCCTCTTTGTATGTTTCTTATGTTTTGATTCCAACCATGTAATTTGATGTTGTTACAACACCTATGAATAAAAGTTGTTGACCTTGTCAAAAAAAAAGAAAATTGTTTTCTTTTTTATGTTTTGGGTAGTTTAATAGGGATAAAATCTCTGACACATAATAGAAATGGAACTCAAGATATCATGTTGTAGCGACCTACTATCTTAACCACCTAGCGTGAGCCTATTTCTAGAAGTAAACATTGTTTTAAAATAGTGCAAGAAGATCCTTAGTTCATTTGATCTTTACTCAAATCGTTCTAGGACTGCATTTGGCAAACTTCTTATAGTCCCCTGTTGCACCGCCCATTTCCAACAGTCTTTGTCACTCAAGTCACTCTATTTCGAGATCGGGAAATGGGAATGGATATCTGGAAAATGGAAATGAACAGTTTCGATGCACCATGTTTTGTCAACTTGAACCACCACTGTATGCAAATAGAGCTATATTCTAAACCTTCTTAACACCAAAACTCCCAAAATTTGGATCCGCAGCCTCCTCTCTTCTATTTTGAAACGGGTTTATTGCTGAAATCACACTTATCTATACATCCAATTAGTGCATTGCAGTTGTCCTTTGTTGAAACTTACAAGGAACCCAGGCTTAATTTTTAGTGCTTGACGATTTGCAACGCTACGTCCTAGGCTCAATTCCTCCCAAAGATAGGGGCCTTCTCCCCACTGACTCACCAAAAAAAAAAGAAAAGAAAGAACAGAAACATACACCCTTGCACCGGCTAAGGGTGCCTCTCCACTAATATGAGTGTGTATATGCGTTGTCGAGGTCATTGTGCCTACCCATATTGACCTACACCTCTATCTCTCACAAGTCACCCCTCTCAAGTGAATAGGCGAGGGGGTGTGCCTGGGCAAAGGCTGGCCTTGGCCCAAGCTTGGTGCAAGTTTTTATAGGGCCGGACTAGGCTATTCTAGCCTTGATCGGGTGAAGGGTCCTAGCTTGACACATGGGCTTTGGTTGCCCAACCTGATTTTTATGGCCCAAGTCCTAATTTTTTATAGTCTGTTTAGTGTTTTAAATCCTGGTTCACTGGGTGAACCGATCCACATGTAATCGGTTTAGATCTGCAAATCCTTAATCCGCGATTCGTTGATGAGTACTGGTAAATATTATTTTTTTAAAATACAAATTATGGACCAAGCAATTTTGATTGCCTCGATTCCTTGATAAAACCGGTTAGTTCTGTGGGAACTAGTCTACTTCTTGATTTCTATTGAAAACCATAATTCAAATTGGAGCTGAATCTACCAATTTTTCATTCAGATCGATTGATTCCAATACGAATAAGAATTTAATCTGGATATTTTTCGGATACTGGTGTAGCCCACTCCCACAATTCAATCAAAAAACCATTCTCATTTCTTCCTTAAGAAAATCACTCTCTATCTGTACTTTTTTATTTTTTTTTGAGGTAATTCAGTGGGGAAGACAGGCCCCTACCTTTTTCTTTTGAGGAGTTACATTTTGAAGGTATTAATTGGAGGAGTTACATTTTGAAAGTGTTAATTGGGGATGTTAGTAGTAGGAATGGATACCACGGATGTGGTAGACTATGCCCCAAGCCCCTTTCCTAATACCACGATGTGGCCACGACCCTAGGCCCGTTCTTAATACCATGATGTGGTAACTAGGTGTGGGCTACAACCACAACCCCAGCCCCTTTCCTAATACCATGATGTGGTGTGGGCTACAACCACGACCCCAGCCCCTTTCCTAATACCATGATGTTGGGTAATTCAATGGGGAAGACATGCCCTTACCTGTTTTATGGGTAGGAATGGATACCACAATGTGGTAGACCACGACCCCACCTCTTTCCTAATACCACGATGTGATAACTGGGTGTGGGTTACGACCATGACCCTAGCCCTTTTCTTATACCACTATGTGGTAACTGGGTGTGGGCTACGACCACAACCTCAGCCCCTAAACTTTTTAGAGGTAGGAATGGATACCACGATATGACACGACCCTAGCCCCTTTCCTAATACCACGATGTGGTAACTAGGTGTGGGTTACGACCACGACCCAATCCTTTTCCTAAAAAGTGGTAAGTCAGTGGGGTTTTAACGCCTTTACCCTTTAGTGAGAATAGAGTAAGAGACTTCATCATGAGGCTCAACAATACTACACCAAGGCCCCATACCATTCTCATCTCTCTTTGTACTCTACAGTGAATAAAGAAAAATTGTTTCATGTGGTGGGAGCCGCATTTCTACATTTGCGGTCCCGAAGGTATAAAGGCATCCATATTAAAGATAGATGCCAGTCCATCGAAAAAATAATTGAAACTACCGATCCAAATAATTTTTTAATAAAATTATTATTTTTAAGTTTCAAAATTTATTTATTTTTATATCTATGATCTCCATGTCAAATATTACATATCTTTAAAAATTAGGTCTAAAATTGCATCTCAAAAATCGATTTTTAATAGATGAGTCATTTGTCTCCATATAAAAGATTGCATGTCCTTAAAAATTAGGTCCAAAATTCCATCTCCAAAATCGATTTTTAATGGGTGAGTCATTGGTACATGGACTAATAAAATTAGAAAAATCCATCTTTCTTCCTGCGACCCTTAAACCCTATTCCCTTCTCACCTAAAACCCCCCTCACCATCACCATATTTCCCTTCTCTGCAGAATCCCCTCTCTCTCTCTCTCTCTCTCCAGACCATGTCTCTCTCCAAATATTTCTCTCTCCTCCCCCAATCCCCTGTCTCTCATCGCCACCACCTCCTCTTCCTGCGCTTCCTCTCTTTCTCCTCTCCTGAAGATGCTGCCGCCGAGCGTCGTCGCCGAAAGCGGCGCCTTCGCATCGAACCGCCCCTCTCCTCCTCTAATCGCTCTGGCCCCCGCCCTCCCATCTCTCCGAACGCTAACCCTAATGCTCCAAAACTCCCGGAGACGACCTCTGCTTTAACAGGAAACCGCCTCAATCTCCACAATAAAGTTCTCTCTCTTCTCAGAGAGCGTCAATTTACAGAGGCCGCTCTCTCTGTTCGCCATCATATTTACTCCAACTGTCGCCCCACTATCTTTACTTGCAACTCTGTGCTTTTCTCTCTTCTCAATCATCGTTTATACCCTGACTTTCTATCTCTGCATCGCTTCTTTACGCAAGCTTCCATTGCCCCTAATCTGGTTACCTTTAACCTTTTGCTTCAAGCATATTGTGATATCAGAAAACCTGAAACTGCATTGGAAACATATAGGACTATGCTTAATAGTTCTCCTTTTTCCCCATCTCCGACTACATATAGGATTTTGACGAAGGGTTTGGTTGATACTGATAGGTTGAGTAGGGCTCTTGAGCTTTTGCCTGAGATGAGAGAGAAAGGAATAGGGGCGGATTCAATTGTTTATAATAATCTCATGTTGGGGTGTGTCAAAGCTGGGGAATTGGAAAAGGCGATTGAGATTTTTGGGGAGTTGAAGCAGAATTTGAAGGTTTATGATGGGATAGTTCATGGGACTTTGATGAAAGGGTACTTCTCGAAAGGTATGGATAAAGAAGCCATGGAATGTTATGAGAGTTTGTTCAACTTAGGGTTTAAGATGAATGCTATTAGTTATAATTCAGTGCTTGATGCTCTTGCTAAGAATGCAAAGTTTGATGAGGCTGAAGGTTTGTTTGATCGTATGCTAAATGAGCATGACCCACCCAGGAGAGTGACTGTAAATTTGGGTTCTTTTAATGTAATGGTTGATGGGTTTTGTAGCCAGGGCAAGTTTCAGGAAGCAATTGACGTTTTTAGAAAGATGAGTGAGAAAATGTGCAGTCCTGATACTCTCTCGTACAATAACCTGATAGAGCAATTATGTAACAATGGACTTTTGAGGGAAGCAGAGGCGTTATACAATGAAATGGCTGAGAAATCTGTGAATCCTGATGAGTTCACATATGTCTTGCTTGTTGACGCTTGTTTTAGAGAGAAGAAAGAGAATGAAGCAGCTGGCTATTTTGAGAAGATGGTAGAGACGGGTTTGAAGCCCAATGTTGTCGCGTATAATAAGGTGATTGGTGGGTTGGTTAATGCTTCAAAGATCGATGAGGCCACGAAGTTTTTTGAGCAGATGAGAGAGAAAGAGCTCAAACCTGATACCAAAACTTATGATTTCGTGTTAAGAGGGTTATGCGAACAGTCGAGGTTCGATGAGGTGCTTAAGATAGTTGGTGATGTGCTCAAGAACGATGAGGTTTTGGATACTGAAACCAAGGAATTTGTTTTTGATTCTCTAAGAAAGGTAGAGAGGGATGGGGAGTTGCAAAATCTGTTTGATGAGAGAGAGAGGGAGAAGGCTGAGGCTTTGGCCAAGGAGGCAGAGGAGGCTAGTAAGAGTGAGGAAGCAGCAAAAGCAGCCAGTGAAGGAGCCACAATTGGTGATGGCGAGGCCAAGGCTGATGATGCACAAGCTGTGCAGGCATTGAGTGAAGGGGAGGCTTTGGCTGTTCATTCTGAAGCAGCCTATGAGGACATGGAGAGTAGTAGTAAAGGGCCCAAGGGGGATGTGACAAGTGTAGAGGGTGACATGGTCGAGGCTAAAGAAGTTGGCGCCTTTGCTGAGGAAGGGGAGGAAGGAAAAGATAGTGCTAATATTGAACAGGTTGGAACTTCCTGAACAAATATTCTCAGATATATTGTGAATTTTTTTTTTGAGATTAGGTGGTGGCAGGGAAGAAAGCTTGTCCCATCGGGGACTTTGTGTTTTATTGTTGGAGAGTTATGTTTTGTACTTTTCCCTAGTTTAACTTTCAAGAAAACTCCAATTATTATATGATCTCAAATTTTTATTGTGAGAGAAGTGTCAGAAGATTCGTGACACAAGATAACCGATTGCGTATTCTGTTTCAAATATGATGATTGAATTTTTCGTTATGCTTTATTGCAGATGTTATAAATGTGATTTGGAGTTAGTTCATAAAGGGTTTTGTACTTTTTTGGGTGTTGGTGAAGATAGAAGTTCATAACTAGATCCTTGATGTTGGTAAAGATCATCATCATCATCAAAGCCTTTTCCCAACTAATTGGGATCGGCTACATAAATCCTGGCCCGCCATTTTACTCTATTAATATTCATACCCTCGGTGAGGCCATAAGTCCAAATATCTTTTCTCACTACTTCCAACCATGTCCTTTTAAGCCCATCCCTTGCCGTTTTTTAGCCTTCCACTTTAAATAACTCGCACTTCCTAACATGTGTTGGTGAAGATAGAAGTTCATAATTAGATCTTAAGATTGTGTTGTTTGCCAGTCATCGTTATGCAAGGCTTTAAACATTATATATCTCTTCTATTTAATAATGCTCTTTACGTTTTTGGTTTTTGTTTTCCTTCTATGTGTTTCAATGTGGATACTTCAACTAGAGACTGGTGTGTGTGAAGATTGTTCTATGGTGACGGCTGGACCCTAATATGAGTTGTTGTATTTTAGCCTTCTAGATGTATTTGGGTCCTCTTGAGCTCATGGCTATGAAGTTTATTGGTAAATTAGGAGTGTGTAGGTTCACAGTCAGATGTCCCTTATGTGTATGCCCACATGCTTGCATGGCTCGGTATTGTGTGCAAGGTTTGCGGTTTTTGTTGCATTTCCTTTTCAACTATTTGATTTGTATCTCGATAATTGGTGTTATCTTTTCAGTGACCATGTTACTAAGTTCTAATGATCATGATTTCATTCACTTACCTATCCTTTTGGAATGAGTAAAATTTTCAATGGTATATCATTGTCTTTTATTGGGATTTAGTTTGTGTGGTTTTGCAGTATGATTTGTGAATGGTCAAGGTCAAGCATTTTTCTTCTTTACTTCTCCAGTTGATAGAAGGATGTATGGAAAAATTTGATTTGATGACTAGTCAGTATCTTGTTGCTGAGAGAACTAGAGATGAAATTGCTTTTAATGAAACAAATCGACAAAATCATTGTATTAATCTGAACAAACCATTTTCATCTTGTCATATGTAGATACAAAATGGTGTTTTAATGAGGTATGCTGTTGTGGGTCTGTACAAAGAACTTTAGGTTAGCAAAAGTGCCTCACTACGAGGATGGTCTCAAGATGCAATTGTCTGATATGGTTGCTCCTTTTGCTGGACAATCCTTGGAAGTATTTGTCCTAGAAGGTAACTCATAACGACAGGCAATGTGAGAAATTTCATTAGAAATGGGCTCCAATCTCCAGGGGCATGGATATGAGTTGCTGGCCTAGCTTACAGCTTTTTTGAGCCCCCCTACAGTTAGAGGGTATGGACCCCAATATCTTTTGAAGGTCCTTAGTTCCTTTGAATGCCTGAAAGAGTAAGGCTTGGGCTTTTGAGTTCCTGGGTCATTAAGAGAACTGCCATCAAAATTGAGATTGAGAGTTCCAATGGCTGGTGGATTCCAATCGGAGAAACATGTTGTTGTGACAAGGGTAGACCACATGGTTTTCTTCCAATGTTGATCAAGGGCTGTCGCCGAGTGTGAGGTGATTTCTTTGCAGTTTTGCTCCCAGAAAATAATGGGAACTTCGATGCTGTCCCTTAGAGAGTCAACGAGTCTTTCTTTGCTTCTGAAAATGCATCTGTTCTCCATCCAGATACCCCAAATGGAGGCCAATAGTGAGGAGCACCACAGAAACAGGCCTGCTGTTTGGAATGGGGCGAGAAGTAGGATTGGGAAGTTGGGTAGTTGATGCAGGCATTGCCCACGGAGCATCGGAACTTGGAGGCTGTCTTACAATGGATAAACATGTGGTCAATGGTCTTCTTCCTCCTTGCACATGGGACATGGGTTTGGTAATTCAATTCATCTTCTGTGGATGTGATTCATGGATAGTACTTTGTTGGATATCACCAACCAGGCCTGCACCTTACGTGGGCAGGTGTGTGCTAGGCCTTGGAGGCTATTGCTATGCCTGGGGCAGGGGGATTGAGGGCCTTACAGAATGACGAAACCAAAATTCTGCCTGGGACCACATCTTTTCTCTCTGCAATAGCTGGTTACAAAGTGCTGTAATATTTCAAACATCAAGACCAACTCAAAAGGTTTCTTTTTCCTCCTTATATTACCTAAGTTTGGGCACTCAAAACTGTTTGGCCTCCCAGGAATTCGTGGTAGTTGGAGACTGTGGCAACTTTATCTAGAATGACGAGGAACAAATTGGGGAAATCAATTTTGAGTGTCTGCTTCCTTTCCTATCCATGAGTCCTTCCAAATCTTATTCGACTCTTACTTTTGACTGTAGATCTGATTTTACTTCAAATAGACAAGAAGGTGGACTGAATATCTTTCCAAGCTTCTGAGCCGCAGTACTGTGAACACCTCTGTGTAGGTACCCAGATTTGTTTGACCCTTATTTGCACATTGTGCTGGATCACATGCTGCCATGGGTGCTTTTTTGTTGACGTATTGCTACCACCATTTTCCTAATAGGGCTGTATTGCAATCCTCATTTCTGATGCTAAGCCCTATGGCTCTTGGGAGTGCAGGCAACTTCTCATCTTATGAGATGGACTCTGTGGATGTCACAGACCTCTCACTCCACAAGAAATATCTCGTGAGTTTTCAAGAATGTGTTTAGTGGTCAAGTTTGTGTTTAATGGAGATAGGCATCCTGAATACTGACATCTGGAAGAGACGGATGTTGGATAGAGTAGTCTTGATGAGGGTGATTCAGCCACCAAAGGACAAGAAGCAGCACTTCCGAGTAGTTAACTTGCACTTGAACCTTTTGACAACCCCATCCCAGAGGGCTTTTCTAGATTTGCCTTGGTTGAGTTGAACGACCAGGGCAGTGGGTTTGATCCACAATCGATTCACTTGGCTAAGGTCTAGACAAAGGGAAGAGGCAGGCGATAAGCCAACACTCATTAACTTGGTTTTTTCCATGTTAACTCTTAAGGGACTGTTTGAGTGCAAAAAATGGTGACAGTTTGTTTTCAATTTTTAATTGACCAAATGGCAATTTGGCCAATCGTCATTTGCTCTCTATGGGTTTTTGATTGTTAGAATTTGAATTTTATATTGTTATTTTGTGGTGTGGTGGTGTTGGTGATGGTAGGGATGGCGTGATGGTGGTTGTGGTTGTAGTGGGGTGCTGATTGTGGCATTGGAGGTGGTGATGGTTGTGGTGGGTAGTGTTAAAGCAGCAGTGCTAGTGGTGGTTTTGGCATTGGAGGAGGTGGTGGTGGTTGCAGTGGGTGGTGGTCAATCGGCAGTACTAGGGGTGGTGGCAGCATTCAAGGGTGTGGTGGTGGTTGTGGTGGAGCAGTGTTGGTGGTGGTGGCGGGTAGGCAGTCGGGTGGTGGTAGTAGTGGTAATGGTGGTGTAGTGGTAGTGGTAGTGGTGGTGGTTACAGTGATGGTGGTGGTGGTGACAGCGGCTAGGCTGTGGTGGTGGTGGCAGTGGTGGCAAGTTGTTGCTGGAGGCGGTAGTGGTTAGGTGGTTGTGGTGGCTGCTAGGCCGTGGTGACTTTTGTAGTGATGGTGGTGGATGCGGTGGTGATGGTAGACTGGTTGCTTGTTGGTGCCTTGGTGGAATAGTGGTGGAGTGGTAGTGGTGGTGGTGGTGGTGGTGTACTTGTGGCAGTGGCGGTTCTGGGGGGGGAGAGAGAGAGTTCTAGATTGAGTTTTTGTTCAAACAAGTTGGAGTTGTTTTGAGGAAGTTCAATTTGGGGGCCTAATCGCAGTTGAGAACTAATTAAAATTTGCTGGTGAGGAATTTTCAATTAGGCCCAAATTGCAATATGGCTAGGAAACCAAAGAATGCCTAAACTAGTGGACTGTTCAAAACACCTAGGGTATGTTCACTTGGATATGCTTGCCGTTGCAGAAGATAAGGGTGACATCTTCATGCTGAAGTTGGGGTATGAATGGCCCACCCCTAGAAGTGGAGAAGACATTTAGGAGGTTTTTGTTATAGTGCTTTGAGAAGGAGCTGAAGGTTTGAGCAATGATAACAAAGAGGAAAGGGGAGACTGGGTCTCCTTAATGTGGACCCCTTGAAGAATGGAAGAAGTCACAACGACTTCCAATGATGACAATGGAAAGAGAAGCTAAGTAAATGCAGCCTGAAATTCAGGACCCAACATTTAAAGTCAAAGCTCATGAGTCCCAACACCTAATCTAGGATTTTGGCCAAAATACGTGATTGAAGGCCTTCTCAAAATGCAGCTTAGAGCTCAGTCCCAGAAGACGTGATATAGAATGAGCGGAAAGCCATCTGCTTCTGGTGCTTTGTCATGTCCCAATTCTACCATGGCCATACAAACTTCAGATTTAGAGAAGGGGTGTCTAGTCATGAAGCAGATTTGTTATATCATCAGTAGTTGATGCAAAGCTGAAGTGGATTAGAGTAAGATTTGCAGTTATAAAACTTCAAAGCTGACTATAATCCACTCGGACGCCGGACCAAACCTTGGCATAAATCTTCATTGTGCCTCGATTGACATCTCTTTTTTCACATGTTTGGCATGAAGCCAACATGGCTGTGGACCAGCTGGCTAAACAGGGAGCGCTTAACAACAGTCTGCTGATTATCTGCCCTACCCCAGCCTAGGCAGTCCTCTGAGGAGCACCTTCTTGCTCCTATTTTTCACAACCTTATACTCTACTGGAAATGTTATATATTCTACCTTCTGTCTAGCTGCGATTTTGTCAGGCGCAAACTTAATTTTTGGGCATGTGTTTGCCCTTATGGTGCTTGTTGTACATGCAGTGAACCCTAATGTAAAACACCTATTATACTAATCATCATTATCATCATAGCCTTTTTCCAATTAATTGGGGTCGGCTATGTGAATCCTGGTCCGCCATTTTGCTCTTATTAAAGGTCATACCTTTAGTGAGGCCATAAGTCCTCATATCTTTCCGAACT